TTTGGCACACCATTTACCTTAAAAAGGAAAAAAACTGTATATGCTAGCTATTTCTAATTCTTAACCGATTTTCACGAAACTTAACACACATCATTCTTGCACAAAATCGGACGAAAATATATATGTGAGCTATATCAAAATCCGAACCGATTTCGACGAAACTTGGCAGACATGACTCCAGACCCAATTCAGTACGATATGCCAAATTTCGTGCAAATCGAAAGATATATATGGACTTTGGTGCACCATTTACATTAAATCGGACGAACATATATATGGGAGCTATATCTAAATCTGAGCCGATTTCCACGAAACTTAACACACATCATTCTAGACCTAATTCAGTACGCTTTGTCAAATTTCGTGCAAATCGAAAGATATATAGGGACTTTTGTGCACCATTTACATTAAATCGGACAAAAATATATATGGGAGCTATATCTAAATCTGAACCGATTTTCGCGAAACTTAGCACACATTATGCTAGACTCAGTTCAGTACGATATGCCAAATTTCGTGCAAATCGAAAAATATATAGGGACTACGGTGCACCATTTACTTTCAATCGGACGAAAATATATATATGGGAGCTATATCTACATCTGAACCGATTTTCAGGAAACTTAGCACACATCATTCTAGACCTAATATGGTACCCTGTGCCATATTTCGTGCAAATCGAAAGATATTTAAGGACTTTGGTACACCATTTACCTTAAATCGGACGAAAATATATATGGAAGCTATATCTAAATCTCAACCGATTTTTCCAATTTCAATAGGGTTCGTCCTTGGGCCTAATGAATGAGCTGTGCAAAATAAATACGACGTGTACTTTGTTTACAATTTAACATGGACAGATAGACAGACAGAGGGACACACGGATGGACATGCATAAATCGACTTAGAAAGTGATTCTATGCATATTCTCAAAAGGAACCATGTGTCTATCTTGTTTCCTTTTGCCTGTTACATACATATGCACAAAGACATAATACCCTGTACCACAGTGTGGTGAAGGGTATAAAAATTGGAAAATATGACAGGATTAGAATGTGGAGTTGTTGATCTATAATCGGTGAATAGGGTACAAATATAACGAAATATAGCCATGCTCAGAATATAGAACCGCAGCAAGTTTGCTTTTGTTGATAGTTGTGTAGGGTATCATATGGTCGGCCCGTCCGGCTATACTGCTCAGCTCACTGGTTTTTTATATTGAGCGTAAAAATATATATTACATTTTCTTTATATTTTTAAATCAATCATTGGCATGAAAAATGTATTTTCAAAATCCACCTTAATCTTAGCTCATGTCAACGAACTTAGAGACTCAATGCGGAATGGAATTCCAAATTTCATCTCAATCGGACAAGCTTTGTGAACATCAAGCTTTGGATCATTCAAGACTCAGTTTATGTATGTCCGTCCGTCTATCTATTATAATTTGTAAACACGATACAGGAATAGATAAATTCTAAACAGAGAGAAGGGCCTGGCCATAGTATAAGCACGACTGTTCAATATTTAGAGGGTCAAATGGACCAGATATTTGTGTGAAAATTTAGATCATTTGTATTCTGGGCGTATATTTTTACTAATGAAGGGCCTAGTGCCGAGAACTTCATAGTATATGCAAGAGGAGTTGTTGGCTTTAAATTGATACAAATTATGTTATTGTATGTTCTCGGATGTGGGAGGTATAAGTAAATATTTAAAAAGGTGTCTATGTGTTATGATGTTGTTTAGTTTTACTATTATACCACTAGAGGGCGAAACGTCGCGCTGATCGCAAGAAGTTCCGGTTGTGGTCAAGGATGACGCGTACAATTTTCGGAGATGTTGAGATTATATTTAGGTGTGCAATGCACTGAGAACTTTATTTTTGTCAGAGTTACTAGTCGCTATAGAGCCTATTATTATATGCAAAACGTCACATATTTTACCCGGTGAAGGTAATCTGACCACTGATTTTTTTTAATACATTAACATTTCTCTTCATATATCGATAACAGATAAATTCATACAATATTCATAATATATGCCTATACACGTATGTCAATGAACGAAAATCTGGATCTGGATCAATGTAAATTAATACTTTGGAATATCACAATAATGAACATGTTTTTCTTTTGTTTCAGAATCTCTTTCAACGTTTGCAATTATTGCAAAGACACTTAACATCAATTCCACATGACATGTAAAAGTAAGCTGGCAGTTAATTTTTATTTCATACAAACTTACCACTCAATACATGTACACGTATACTGGTAATTTCTGCATTTGACGGTGCGCACGAATATTTACCGGAATCGGCCAAATCTGCATTTTGCAGAAGCAGATAAGACGTCGTTATATCGCCTTTCTCGGTTACCACAGAAACACCGCCTCTGGTTGAGTCGTAATTAATGAGCTGTAATTGTGAGATGAGAACAAAGAATTTCAACTTTATAGACTTGTTGTGTATGACTTGTTTTTCGTACATTTAGTGGAAATCAGATAATCGAATCAAAATGTGATGAGGTCGATAATACGATACTCTTTAACAATGTCGTTATTAACAAAAATCAATCAATAGCCGATATATGATTAATCTATTGAATATAAGATTTTTTATACGTAAAAAGTATCAGGTTTATGACGGGAATTGGTTTAGATTGTAAGGCAAAAACTGGATTAAGTTACTATCTATATATATATATATATATATGAACATGTACATGTTTGCGTGATTGCCTTATAAAACTGCTATCACCACAGACAAAATAGCTATTTTCAAATTAAAAAACAAAGAAATAAATAAAAAAGTTGATCATTAAATAGAAATTTAACACACACACAAAACCCCTGAAATATGAACATCATCTCAATTAATATAACTGTAAAAGATTGACAATGATACATGATGTCAATTGAACATATATTTCATTTAATTTTATATATGACGACCAAAAAACACATAATAGTAATTTTTTGTCGACGGCAATAAAAGATTAAATTCTGCTGATATGAAATAAATGGTGCAACAATTACGTGAAATCGGAGGAAATCAACAGATTTATTTCAGACTAGAAATTCACTACAACCATAAAAAAAGTTTTAGTCGGCATTTCCGCAGTCATTCACATGACTTTTGGTGGCAAAAATTTTAAATATTATTAAACACAATTTTTATACCCTTCACCACACTGTGGTACAGGGTATTATGTCTTTGTGCATATGTTTGTAACAGGCAAAAGGAAACGAGATACACATGGTTCCTTTTGAAAATATGCATAGAATCACTTTCTGAGTCGATTTACGCATGTCCGTCCGTCTGTCCGTCCATGTGTTTTTGTGAACAAAGTACAGGTCGCATTTATGATCCGATTTGGATAAAATTTGGCATATGTCACTTATTTGACCCTATATATCTATCTATTTGCACGAAATTTGGCACAACGTTATGAATTAAGTAAAGAATGATGAGTGTTAAGTTTCGTAAAAATCGGTTCAAATTTACATATAGCTCCCACATATATTTTCGTCCGATTTGATGCAAATGGTGCACCAAAGTCCCTATATATCTTTCGATTTGCACGAAATTTGGCACAGCGTAATGAATTAAGTACAGAATGATGTGTGTTAAGTTTCGTGAAAATCGGTTTAGATTTAGATATAGCTCCCATATATATTTTTGTCCGATTTAATGCAAATGGTGCACCAAAGTCCCTATATATCTTTCGATTTGCACGAAATTTGGCACATCGTAATGAATTAGGTAAAGAATGATGTGTGTTAAGTTTCCTGAAATCGGTTCAGATTTAGATATAGCTTCTTTATCTGACCAAATGAAAAATATAGTATAGGTAGCAGAATGACATGTTTATGGATCCAATTTCATTTTACTGGTGCTTTAAAAATGCGACGTCTGTTAGGATTCATCTGTTGAATATACCCAAAGTGGTGAAGTCGGTCCCGTCCGTCTTTACTACTTTCCTTACTGGTTTAATTCGCCCCTTATACTTTTAAGAGTACTATCAATGTTAAACAAAATATTGACAGCCTTAGGTTGTTATCATTTCAGATAAAAGCCACAAAAAATTGGTCAGTCTGTTAAAAAATTCTGCGAAATAAATAAAGTTTTTTTAACATTAAATATTTTTTAAATAAATATAAAATATCAAACATTATTATTGGTTTTATAATTTTCTACGATTTAACCTGTCCTTTTTGGGAAGGATATATCTTGGTTAATTTTATGATCTATTCAGTATGAATCATACAGGATTTACCATTCGCTTTATATGGAATATATACGTTTTCTAGAAAGGGAAATATTTGCTGTCAGGATCCCATCTTAGGATTTGAATACTCCTTAACCTTCATATGAATTTTTACAATATTCTGCTTTTGGGAAGCTACCAGATGGAGCTTACCTCCAAATCAGTCGTAACTTCTTATTGGATTTACAAATTTTCAGTATTTTTAAATAATCTATTCGCATTAGTCGGACGGGGACCACCATATGATACCTTGCACACCTACCAGTTCTATACGCTGAGTCTGGGCAATATTTGAACCCGATTATAAATCAACATTTGCACTTTCTCACCCTGGCATATGTTCCAAATTTTGTTCGCCGAGTTCAATACTTACGCCATAAAAAATTGGTCACTTTAGGTTTTGGTTGATTTTTCCCCCGGAACGTTGACCTATCATCATCAAAGCAGCCCATCTTCATCCAAACAATCATGGTTACTATTTAGACAGATTCCTTTCCTGATGTGTGGTATTCGGGTATTCGGGTCATAATTGTGACCTATAGAGAGACCAGAAATACCGACAATAATAAGGTTTTCGGTTACCAAAAACAGAACCCATCCTGAACGAAAAATTTCGGACAGATGACGGTCGGATATTTGGAAATCGATTCAATATGGATATAACCGTAAGACTGAGGGTATATCATGTTATAAAAGTAACCCTCTGGGACAAGATATTGTACATACGATTCTATGAGACGATCCATAAATTCGTCTGCCCATCAATGTATTATCTTAAACGCAGTACAGAATAGAGAGACGAAGTTTTTAAAAATTTATTAAGATTTCAAAAAATTTCAAATTTTATAAAATGATTTCAATAGTTTGAGTTTAACCCCATTATTAACAAATAGTCGGGCATTGCTAAATTTTAGAGCTATCGACGAATAGTTAAATATATTAGAAACGAAATTACATTTAAGCAAAAGGGATCAGAAAAATGTGATACTAAACAAAAATTACACACCCTCAAAAAGAAAAAAATAAGTAAATAAATAAAAAACAACAACAAAAGTAATAATAAAAAGGAACCAACACCAAAAATCTGTTGATGATGATGACGATAATGGCATTACACTGAGACAGACATAAAAGTTGAATAAATAAATATAAATAAATTACCTCTTCGTGATGATACCAAAATACATAGGCAGGTGGCTCAAGGCAAAACTTCACGGTGCATGTTAGATTTATGGTGCTACCTTTGTCGACATAAAGGTCAGGACCGCCGTAGATGCTGGCCGTTGGCACTGTTAACACATTATGGAAGGAATGATGATTATATTTGGGTCGATGTTGTTGTTGAGGTTTTTTGTTGTTGTTGTAGGTTATAATGTTCAACAGTCAATTTTAGATGCCGACATTTGCATAGCAAAGACATGAAAATAAAGAGAAAAAAATAGAAATAAATGTTTATAGACATTTTTTGGTATATAAAAAAATTGCTAAGTCTAATTTGGTGTTTTCGTCTCTTAAGGGTTATGCATTTTTAAAGATGTTTACAAATTCTTGGGATATTTTTTATAGATAAATTCAATTTAAACTTTGTGTTTTTCATTCGTTTTTGGCTAGACTGTAATAGATAGTTATGTGTGTGTATATAAATAAAATAAAATATTTATACAAGGTATGCTGCATTTAAATTTCAACACGAATTCAACGGATACATGTTAGAAAAGTTTTTGAGAATATTCAAATAAAATGGAAGAAAATCCTGTAGATCCTATAGATATACTTTTTTGATATATTTTGCATGTTTTTTATGTTCGAAAATGTTCTGGATTTCAAATTACTGACAATACAAACAAAATACACAAAACGAATTGCCAGAAAATTGTCGATACGAGCAATTTTTTTCCATTTCTATTCCCCTTGCCACTCTCTCCTGCAAACAAAAACTTGCCGCAAGTAAAAAATTTAAAAAAAATTATCTTTTCTCACATACTACACAAATGTTTTGGTTTTATTCGTCGTAGTATTTCGAAGGCAAATGTGTCCTTTAAATGAATATCTAACTTTTCCATTTTTATTTCGATTTTTTGTTAATTTTTAGAAATATTAGTTGATCTCTAGTTATTAAGCAATCTTTGTTCCATTACTATCTTTTCTTTCTACACAAAGGCTGAAAAAATTCCCATTGAGAGTAGCTGAAATTTATTATTTTCTTAAGTGTTTAAACCAGTAAGGAAAGTAGTAAAATCAGACGGGCCGACTGTATGATACCCCTCACCACTTTGGGTATATCCAACAGATGGAATCCTAACAGACGTCGCAGTTTTGAAGGACCATTAACAACAAATTAAACATGTCTATCTGCAACCTATACTAAATTTTGATATAGAGTTGCTTTTTACAATGGAAGAAAATTATGTAAATAAATTAAAAGCAAAATATCGAAATCTAAACCGATTTCATCGAAACATGCCACATGTAAGGTTACACTTATTTCAATATATTTTTTTCCATTCGGCCATATTTTGAGTTCTTCATTTACTTATAAATCAAAATTTCGTGCAAATGGAAGGATATATAGGGGCTTTGGTGCACCATTTACATAAAATCGGACCAAAATATATGAGGGAGTTATATCTAAATCTGAACCGATTTTCATGAAATTTAACATAAGTCATTCTAGCTTAATTTCGTGTATATCAAATGATTTTCAGAGACTGTGGTGCACCAATTATAAAAAATCGGATGAAAATATATATGGGATCTATATCTAAATCTGTACCGATTTTCAGGAAATTTACCACACATCGTTCTAGACTTAATTCAGTACTCTGTGCCAAATTTCGCCCAAATCGAAGGATATGTAGGGACTTTGGTGCACTATTTACCTAATATCGGACGAAAATATATATGGGAGCTATATCTAAATCTGAACCGATTTTTCCTAATTTCAATAGGGTTCGTCCTTGGGCCAAATAAGTAAACTGAGTCATATTTCATCCAAATCGGGTCACAAATTCGACCTGTACTTTGTTAACAAAAATACATGGACGGACAGACGGACATGCATATATCGACTTAAAAAGTGATTCTATGCATATTCTCAACAGGAAACATATGTATATCTCGTTTTCTTTGCCTGTTACAAACATATGCACAAAGACATAATACCCTGTACCACAGTGTTGTGAAGGGTATAAAAATCTCCAATAGGTCGAGTTTTTGTTATATTCCCTATATTATAATCCGATCCTTATTCATGTCAATAGCTTATGGTGGGGATTCATGGAAAAGTTGCCATCAATTTTGGCTACATGATATCATTGGAAACTATTGTGACCAAAAATTAACTTATGATTAATATCCCCATATAAATATCCCAGCCATTTTTATACCCTTTACCACACTGTGGTACAGAGTATTATGTCTTTGTGCATATGTATGTAACAGGCAAAAGGAAACGAGATAGACACATGGTTTCTTTTGAGAATATGCATAGAATCACTTTCTAAGTCGATTTATGCATGTCCGTCTGTCCGTCCGTCCATGTATTTTTGTGAGCGAAGTACAGGCCGCATTTATGAGCCGATTGGGCTGAAATTTGGCACAGCTAACTTATTCGGCCCAAGGACGAACCCTTTTGAAATTGGAAAAAATCGGTTCAGATTTGGATATAGCTCCCATATATAGTTTCGTCCGATTTTATGTAAATGGGGACCATTTTTCCAATATTAGTCCGATTGAGACAAAATTTTGCATAGATTACTTAAGTCCAGACTGATGTCAGCGAAGTTTTGTTAAAATCGGTTCAGATTTAGATATAGCTCCCATATATAGCTTCGTCCGATTTTAAGTAATTGGAGCACCATTTTGCCAATATTGGTTCGATTGAGACAAAATTTTGCAAAGAGTACTGAATTAGGCCCCGACTGATGTCTGCGAAGTTTTGTTAAAATCGGTTTAGATTTAAATATATCTCCCATATATAGTTTCGTCCGATTTTTTGTGAATGGTGCACCAAAGTCCCAATTTTTGTCCGATTGAGACATAAGTTTGCACAGAGTACTCAATTAGGTCCAGACTGATGTCTGCGAAGTTTTGATAAAATCGTTTCAGATTTAAATATAGCCTCATATATAGTTTCGTCCGATTTTTTGTGAATGATGCACCAAAGTCCCAATTTTTGTCCGATTGAGACAAAAGTTTGCACAGAGTACTGAGTTAGATCCAGACTGATGTATGCGAAGTTTTGTTAAAGTCGGTTCAGATTTAGATATAGCTCCCATATATAGTTTCGTCCGATTTTTTGTGAGTGATGCACCAAAGTCACAATATTTGTCCCATCCAATTTTGTTTAAAAAATGTGCCAAAAAGCTCTGGGTGCTACCCTGGGGTCTGAGCTAGAAACTGAATGAACACTTGGGTTCTTTTCTCACTGGTTTAATTAAAAGAGTTAAACTTAATAGAAAGGATATGATATTGTATATTGTTCTGCAAGTCATTTTCATTCGCATCGAATCAACCAAGTTAGATTTTGCAGGATTTTTTTATTAGTTTCGTGTTATTGTCCCCTTACTTTTGCTACACATGGTTTCTTGTTTTTCCCACATTAAAATTAGCTGTCAATAGCGAAAATATAATTTAATATATTGAGACCAACTATGAATAGCTGGATTTTTGGCTTGACCAGAAAATCTGTCACTGACCTTGTTAAACTTTATATTTGCCAAATATTTCAATATTAAAAATATCACGTAGAATTCAAAAATATAATGTAAAATGTTATTAATATCTCACATTATGTGAAAACGAGCATTGGATTGGTAGACTTTCCACTTTTTGTACCATTATTCTACCACCATGTCAACCTCTATAAGTAATTCCATAACACATTTCAAGGGAATTTCGCAGAAGAAAAAAACAAAAAAGACTTACCAACAATATTTAGATGAATAAAATAACTTCTTGCCGGTTGAGTAGATATCTGACACTCATACGTTCCGGCATCCCGTTTTTGTACCCATTTGATTTGTAACGTCCAATCACCAATTTCACTAAAATGTAACGCTTGAAAGCGTAAATCTGATGTGTAGGTGTATGTGCCAACGGTGAGAATGTGTGAGTCACGATGTCGTATCCATGATACCTGAAAATGGTATATATAATTCATTTCGTCTGCCTTTTCAGTAAAAGTTTAAATAAATTATTATGATTTAAAAATAACTTACAGTTTTATTTCCCAAATTAATAACACGACAATTCAAAAATGCAGTCTTTCCCATTAAAGCAGTAACATTACGTGGTGTCGTGGGATCCACATATGGTTCTATCCAAGGAGGTGGTGTATACGTTGGCAATGTTGTTCTATATGTTGTTTCATCATACATTTGTATTGCATTAAATGAAAGTGTGACGTCAGCATTACATCGCTCTGGAAATAAAAATAATTCAACGAAATCAGAATATGTTATTATTGTTGTATAAGGGTAGAATAGAATGGTAATTTTAAATTCCTTAAAGAAATAAGAGATCATACACAACTACCCTACACAACTACCACGAAACTCTAACTTACTGCGGATGTTTATTCTGAGCCTGGGCAATATTTCATGATATTTGCACCCTCTTGCCCAATTAGAGGTCAACAGCACCTCTTCCTTACACTGACTTATTTTACGAATATTACCAATATTCAGTACAGTCTTTCTAATTACTTGTTCATATTCTCTTCATCGTGGGTTGTGTTGCGGTGTTCGGCTTATAATTGTGGCCTATAGATCGATTCGTAAAAACACAATAAAATTTTTTTTTCTCCACTTCATCCCAGAAAATTACAGGCGTGCTCATTGATTATAACTAGAATATTATGAAATATTTCAATGCGATCAGCGATATACTTCCGCCCTCCAGTGTGGTAATGATTTACTAAATAATATCTGAATACGCAAGCACCTGCAAATATTTACGTGTAACTCCCACATGTGAGTCGATCTAGACACACATGTCTAGATCGACTCAGCTAGTCGAGATATGACGATCGGTATACTTGAAGGTGGGTCTAGGGCCAATATTTCGCGGCGTTGCAAACTCTTGGCGCTGCACAAAGCTATAATACCCTGACAACATAGTTGTGGAGGGTATAAAAACAACGTTTATTGATCAAATAGTCGTTCCAAAAATATTCTTAAAATAATCCACGCTTATGGGCCAGATAGCCGTTTAAAAATGGTTCTTTAAAAATTCACGCTTATTGGTGATACAGCAGTTTTTTTTTATACCCTTCACCACTCTGTGGTATAGGATATTATGTCTTTGTGCATATGTTTGTAACAGGCAAAAATAGTCGAGATAGACTCATGGTTCCTTTTGACAATATGCATAGAATCACTTTCTGAATCGATTTATGCATGTCCGTCCATCCGTCTGTCTGTCCATGTTAAATTGTAAACAAAGTACAGGTCGCATTTTTGATTCGAATTGGATGAAATTTGGCACAGCTCATTTATTTGGCCCAAGGACGAACCCTATTGAAATTGGGAAAAATCGGTTCAGATTTAGATATAGCTCCTATATATATTTTCGTCCGATTTAAGGTAAATGGTGTACCAAAGTCCCTATATATCTTTCGACTTACACGAAATTTGGTATAGCGCATTGAATTTAGTCTAGAATGATGTGTGTAAAGTTTCGTGGAAATCGGTTTATATTTAGATATAACTCCCATGTATAGTTTCGTTCGATTTTAGTTAAATAGTCCACTAAAGTCCCTGGAAATCTTTTGATTTGCACGAATTTCTGCATAGCGTACTCAATT